CCCTTCTTGTTGGTCACTGTGTCTCCCTTCTTGTTGGTCACTGTGTCCCCCTTCTTGTTGGTCACTGTGTCCCCCTTCTTGTTTGTCACTGTGTCCCCCTTCTTGTTGGTCTGTTGGTCACTGTGTCCGCCTTGTCTCCCTTCATTCTTTCTTTGTCTCCAGTCTTGTCTTGTTTTCTTGTGGGACACTCACCGGGCGAGTCTAGGAACGAGCCAAACATGTTGAGGGAAAAGATCTATTCCAGTCCACGGCACGGCCAACATGCATCCTGCAGCCCAAACATCATCCAAATGATCAAAGGCCTCTCCAGCCCGGCGCTCTGGCGAAAAGTACCAAGCAGGACCTATCAGGGTTGCTCGATCCGCACAGAACCCCCCCAACGTCTCACAAGTCAACCATCGGGCGCTGGAAACAAGCGCGGATTGTTGAAGTTTGGAGCTTGAAACGAATTCAAAAATCAGAGGCCCCAGTAAAGAGTGTTCACATCTGGACTTCAACAACTCCCCCGCCGTTGTCCTCGGCAGACCCCCCGCACCTACACCCTTCACTGACATCACCGAGGGCTCAAGCAGCTCTGAGATCTTGGACAGTCCTGGTGTGACAGGTCGACATTTGATATAGGAGGTACCCAATTCGGTCGGTGGTCACAACAAGACTCCGGATCCCCAAATCTCCCACACCCGCGCGCGCCTACGTCAATGATCTTCACTGCACTTGGGCATGTGGAAACTTCGCGTCTTTCGTCGCGCGAAATCAGAACATTCTCAGCGTGCAGGTCGCGATGGATCATTCCGATGGAGTGCAAACACGACAATCCCTGGCAAGCTAAGCATGTTGGGCGCGTATCTTAAGGAGATCAGCGGTCTATGTTCCTTCAGAATTCGTTGCCTGAGAGGTCTCCCTATTTTTTCACTACACACCCAGAACTGAATCCCTGGCGACGAGAAGTGCTTTCCAGCATCATCAATACACCATCCTCTCCCCACCAGCCTTGAATAGCTGCAAAAACCAGCAAGAGACGCTCTCCGCAGGGCTGGGTGACGCCTACAGGGTTGGTGAACAAACACCCTGAAAGGTGCCTTCTAGACTGACACAGTCTCTATCTGTTGATTTAAGAAAGACCGGACCTCTGTTTTCATGCCTTGCATACAGGTCAAGACCGTCAATAGCGTCAATACCCTGGTTGACCTTGGGGCTCGGATATTCACCCACCTGGATCTGGTGGTGGGGGTCCGGACAAAACGGACAGGACGCACAAAACGGACGATGAGGGTGCAACATGGTGCAACTGATGCATGCTGCGAGTGCTGAGGTTCTCCCATGTTCACGTGGCTTTGCCTTGGATCCTTTGATGAGATGGTAGAGCTTCACCGCATCGAGAAACTCCGTGACGATGTGAAGGCGACCCTTCTCCAAGAAGCAGGTGTAGTATCGAAGCAAATTGGGATGAGATGGCAAATGGGCCAAGTTCACCAGCTCCGTTCGAAGAAATGCCTCATTCTCTTCGAACCTCAAGAAGAAGAAGAAGAAGAAGAAGAAAGAGAAGAAGAAGAAGATCTTCTACCAGTATACAGTGGTTCCCAAATAGCTAAAAAGTGTGCTCCACGACATGGGAAAGGGATTGGCTCAAAGAAATTGATCACTTCCACCCCAGCAACTTCTGGTACGTTGTCTTCACAGCGCAAAGGCGACCATCCAGCAAGCTACGACAGCAGTGCACTACCCCGAAGCCACCCCTTCCTAAGGGTCGGGTACCTTCAGGGCTTTCTTTCCACAGCTTCCCCAAAACCGGGTTTGAAGAACGGATGACGGATGGAGATCCACAAAGCTTCAACACCCCCAAAGAAATGGCACGTCGATTGGTGGAGTCTTGACGCGGGACCTGCCCCGCGTGTTTTTCTGCGCGCCTACCATCTCGTAGCCGCTTGGAATGTCGCCTTTGCTCTTCGCTTCCGAGACTTCTCGACAGATTGGAAGCCAGAAGGCAGTGGCAGGAGTGTGATCATCTTCCAAGATCGCCATTTTCTCATGAATGCAAACGGCCTCACCGTGGTCCGAAAGCGAGCCGAGCGCTGTGATCTTCTGTGGAGAAGCCGAAAGCTTCTCTATCTATCAGCCCCCAATTGGAGCCCGAATCAATCCTACCCGTCGCACAGATGAGCGCTCGAGTTTCTCCACGTCTATGTAATGTGATCTCTGGTAATGTTGATAAGCAGCTTTAGTTCTCCAAAGAGATGGGAGTCTGTGCTGAGCACCAAAAAGCCTTTGGCATTGTGAAAGCGAGATAGCAAGGGGGAAACACTTGAAGACATGACATAGATGACAAGAACACATAATATTATACAAGAAACACTGGCAACCCGCACGCTCACAGAGTTGGTTTCTGTATCAATTTCAGTGTAGAAGGCATCGTCTATTCTCCAACGTCTACAAGGTTGTCTACAAGTGTCCTAACACTTGCAAAGGCTTCAAGTCCTGGGTTTTTTGTTCCATCTACTGGGCCATCTACTGAAATCATTGTACTACTACCTCTCACCGCTTCTTGCCCAGCACCAGCGGCCTTACCAGCTCCAACGCTTTTGACGTAGAAGCTTCCGGGCGAAGTCGCCGCATCCAGTGCGAAGCGCGCGAAGGCATCCCGGGCGTCGGCGGAAACAGAGACCTGCCCATCGGAGTCCACGCGCAGTGGCAAGCCCGAACCCAGGTTGATGAGGAAGAAGCCTCCTTCAAAGAAAATCGAAGCCTCCAAGGATTTGGCTCCAAAGCAAAAGCCAAATTCACAGACATGAACTGGCCTCTGGCCTTCGAACCGAGACACTGCAAGAGGAACTATAAAAATGCATCGTCAGTCCTTCCGGGCTCAGCTCCAGATTGAACTTACAATATTCATCCTGCAGGTGCCCAAAGCGCTGAGAGGCCATCTGATCTCCCAGCCCGTCCACGTGCAATGGCATCTGCTGTGGGCCCAACAGTCGGCAGGTGCGAAGACCAATGGCATGAGCTTCTAATCTGAAGATGCTCTCCTTCAGCTTCCGGTCGCTCCGAAAAAAAACAACCGGCCGAAGAGCAAACAGAACATCGGCTGGGGGGTCTTGGAGAGCAACGTATTTATGCCCTAGAAGTCCAAAGACCATATTTTGACCGGATGAAGTAAAGGAAGTTCCTTTTCAGGTCCCCTAAAGACCATTCTTTTTATAGTCTTTGACTCTCCAGGTATGTATTTTTGACACGTGCTGTGTTTGCTTTCACATGTCACCCGAAGAACGATCGAAGCAGAGCTCTGGCCATGCAACGACTACTTTCCTGCTGTAAGTCAGTGGGTGTTCAACTTCTACAGTTAGTGACTCAAGGTGTACCCCACCTATCTGCTCTTCTGCCCCGTTCTCTCCGACCCGCCTGATCCGTGCCCTCCTCCATCGTCGACGCCATCCGATCCGCGCCGATCCGCAGGGCCCGGCCCATCGCCACGCTCAGCAGCAGGAGACCGTCCGGCGTGGACTGTGAAGGAAAGGGCGCCGTGCACAAGTAGAATTGGGAGTAGTCATCCATGCAGTCCCCGCAGCGCACGGACGCCAGCTGGTCCCCAAGGCCGTTGATATGTAAGGGCAGCTCTGTTGCCAGGTTCCGAAGGTAGACTCTTCCTTCCCCCGCGGGCTCGATCCAGAAGGCAGAGAAATCATCACGGCAGTCGCCATAGCGGAGTGAGGCCAGCTTGTCACCGAGTCCATCAATGTGTAATGGCCATCCGCTTTCAGCATGGATGAAGCGAAAGGTCGCCATCTCCGATCCCTTTGAGCCGTCCGTCCTCTTTGAGCCCAGGGAACACGGGAGTTCACCTCTCTGGGGGTCCAAGCCACGCAAGCTGGGCGCTTGCCAAACCAGCAACCACAAGCCGAACCCCCAACCACGCAAACCCATATATAACTGTGAGGAGGTGATGGGCTCTCACCAAACAACCAGCCAGGATTGAGGCAACAGGCCACACAATCGAAACAACCAACCCATCAGCCAAGCACTGTGCAGGCGCAGCTAGCCGAATCCGACCAAATCACACCAACCGTGTGTTTAAAGTCATTGAAGCCCACGCAAAAGTCCCGTGCACGTAACTCTGCTAAGGAGGAATCCTGCCAATCAACTCTGCTACCGATGCCGCCATCAGTGGTTGACCATTCATCATATCTTGTTCGTCGTGCGTCCGACTGACTGAGCACCCTTCCCTAGAAGTCCAGGTCGACTGGACGAGCGTCACCACCCAAGTCGCCCGGAAGTTCCTAACTTCGGATCACCTGGTCAGACCGGGTCCCGGGGCCTCTCTGAGACTGGTTGGTGCATCTCGAAACACAGCTGACTGGGTGAGTCTTTGCTACATGCACCAGTGACCTACAAAGAGACTTCAAACTGCCGTCTATCGGTCAGCCATGCCTTCAGAAGAAGGCAGAACAGCTCTAATCTTGTTCAGCCTTAAACAAAAAACTACTTCGGGTATATGTGCTTTTTCCTACCAACCAACCAACCAACCAATCAACCAGTCCACACACCCCAGACAAGGCACTGTTATCCAAGAGATGTCTTGGGTTCTCGAGGCCATGGTAAGTCTGGCAGCAGCGGACGCGTCTCTTCGTCGTAACTTTGCCCTCCCCCAAGCCCAAACCTTGGGAGTCAAAGACTATGAAAAGAATGGTCTTTAGGGGACCTGAAAGGGAACTTCCTTTACTTCAGCCGGTCAAAATATAGTCTTTGGACTTCTAGGGCAAAAGTATAACTGTGCATGAAGGAGAGGAAAGAATACCGGTGGAGCAGGCCTGTCACCACACTGGTAAAACTGGCAAAGGCGTGAACCTCTGGGTCATTTGCCTCTGCTTGTGCACAGTACCCGCTGTTTCATACACCGAACACCCACTGGTGGTCACAGTACGCTCTCAAGACTGACTTACTTACTTCAGCAGCGAGAACGACCGTCCTGCCTTCTTGCCCTTCCTCTTGCTTCGTCGGGCATCCTGGATCACAGATGGACTTCAAGGACACGACGACGAAGACGACACTGGACTGGACATGGTGGACTGGAATCAGCGAAGCAACTATATATAGATGTGGATACCCCAATTTGGATGAGCACATCCACTAGTGAACTAGTGGATTGCCTGCCCTACATCCAGTAGATGCATAATTAAATACCTCCACCATACCACCTTTACTGCAAATAGGGAGCTCTCTTGTCCATCAAGGTGGCCCCAAGACCCCCACTTCTCCCACCCCAAATGCTAAACTCATTCCACAAATCTGCCATGAAACAACCCGGAAACCAAGCCAAAAGTGACAAAACTTGTATCTTCCCTCCCCTGTTCTCAGGCCGGTCCTCATAGAACTGGGCTACCAGCTCTGGATCTCGACCTTGGATCGCGGCATCGCCGTTTGGGGAGGACGGCATGGCGCTCCGAGACCTGACTATCAATGAATCAACAGTGCCAGGGTTTGCCAGTGGGCTCACCCCACACCCCGGGGTTGTGACAAAAAAAGAGATGGTCGCTCTCCTCGTTTTTAGAAACATGTTGGCAATGTGCCCTCCAGTCTTATCAAAGGCGCTGACGAGTGGACAAATGAACCATGGCTCCTTGTCCAATCTCATATTGGAAGAGCGCCTCGGAGAGGCACGTGGAACTGATGGTGAAACTTCCAGAAACCTGCAGAAGATGGAACAAACATCAAGACCTCAAAACGCCAACAACGCTTGAGGCCATCAGGAGAAATCCTCGCTTTGGCCATCGCTGGCAAAGCCAAGAGCCCACCGCGTGAATTCTTCGTTCGAAGTACCTCGCTCCGGCCTTGCTGTTGTCCTCCAAGAGCCCAGAGGGCCTTCAAGACGATACGTCCGCACCGGAGCTGGGAAGAGCGAGTTCCGGTTGCAAGTGAGTGGGTGAGGGAGTGAGTGAGTGAGTGGATGCGTGAGTGGGTGACCTCTTTGCGAATCTTTCTCTCTTGATGTCTCTTTGCGAATCGTCTTTTTCTTTTGTTTTGGTTCAAGCATTGAAGCCTCACGCTCGAAACCACCCTCTCGAGTGGCCGAGCAAGTGATGCACCAATGCCCCGATGCCTAGTTACGCCTGGTAAACATGGGGCCTTCACGAAGCGTTCGTTTGCTTCGGACAGTGCAGCTCAACTGACCAATTCAGCAAAAGACTGTTCAAAGTGTACCAAAAACATCCAAAAACGTCTTAAGAACTACAGCATGTCTTTTCAGTTGCATCGTTTCGGACTGTAAACCAGATGTTTGTTTGCTTGTACATGACGGGTATGCTTCTAATGGCTGAGGGTACCACAGATCTTCTCGCTGTTCCCTGTTCCAGTGATGTGCTTTTTGAGATGTCTAGACAATGTCCCACAAAGGTCTTTGGATCCCTGACCCCGAATTGGCCACGTATACTGGCAAAAAAAAACCGACACGCGGCCGTATGATGCCCCCGAGAACGAACTGCCAGCAGCGCGTTGAACAGTTCTCGGGTGGAACGACTCGCCCGTTGCGCCCCCCCCCAGCCGGCGCGGCAGAGCAGTTCGCGGCGCACCCGAAGAACAGCTTCTGTTGCGACATGGGGACCCCTGTCGCAGCTTGGATGAGGCTCTTGAAGCTACTCCTGGAGAACGGCCGGGCGGTGGCGGCGGTGCTGGGGCGGTGCCTTCGGGTCTGGAGTTTCGATCCAAAGACCGGGGTCTCCCCGAAGGTGGAAATTCACACCCATATAAGACCATGATCAACCTACATCAATCCACAGCCACTTACTTACCCCCATTGCTCCTTCCACATCCTTTTGGGGCCAGGAAAGGAAGTGGAAGAAAGTACTTCAAGTGGAAAGGGTGATGGTCTCAAACTCCGAAGCAGTTTGTTTCCAGTCCATTCTTGGGCCCATGTGGCAGAAGTCCGGTGTCCGTGTCATGGCGGAAGACTTGGTTTGATTTGGGCATGGGTCATGGGGGATGTAGATCATCAACATTCCAAACATGGCATGGCCTTTGCCGCAAGGGTTTTTCTTGGGACGGTCGCTCCATTCAACCCTCCACCAAAACAGTAACCCTTTATTGAATAGTATATTATATCATATACGCCTGTATATAAGCAAGTGAAATGCTGGCATCTAATCATCTATAGACACGCGTACTCCCCAACAAAGTAGTCTTTCTTTCGAAGCTCAACGGGCTGCGGCTCGGGCCGCGGCTCAACGTCACTCAGCGTCGTTGAGCTCAGTGTCGGGCTCATCTGGAGTGTGGAGCGGTGGCACGTCACGTGGTAGCAGTAGCACTGAACTGGTGCCTTTGTGAGTCATCTACCTTTGCAAAGAATTATTGAGACATGGGCCAAGGACCACTGACCACACAAAAAAAAAAACAAGACTCAGCTGTATATAGAGCTGTAGAGCTCCGTTTGGGACTTTTGAGCAAGCCTGAGCAAGCCGCCTTCGTCTTTCTTTTGGTGACCATTCTGGGAGGAACCGGGAAAACCGGTGTTCAAGAAGACTCAGCTGTTGGTGACACCAAGGTACAGACACCCTGACGTGCTTCGCTCTGTCTTCGCAACCGGTCTATCCGCCTGTGACACTGTAGGACCCGAGAGCTTGGCAGTGCTTTGCACATGCTCCTGGTCCGCACGCCACCGCTACGAACGAGGCCATCAGGCCATCGCTACGAAGGGAACAAGAACGACACTAGTAACAAGGGTTGCAATTGACAATGGGACGTTGTGGAGGCCCGTGTTTTACCATGTTTGATGTGTTTCTAGCACGTATGCTTGGAAAACTGTATGGCATTCCGATACAACAAATCACCAAATAAGAACTTTACATGTTTTGCATGTATAAATAGAGCTCTACCCAGCCAAAACGCCAAAACCCATGGGGGTCTCCCGGATCGAAAAAAGAACGTACCCTACCTGCATCATCACCAATCTACACTAGGCTTCGAGCCTTTTTCATGCCTCCTTCTTCACCCCACCTGTGATGCCATCTCGAAGTTCGCACTTCGCAGCTCCTGTGAGCCGGGTATCGGTTTCGAAGATCCCACCGAACATCAGAAAGGTGCTGTTTGAACTAGGCTGAAAGACCGCCTGCGCCGACACAAAAAGAAGCAATGCGAACTAAGACCAAAATGGAAATGTTAAATGTTGCTGTTTCATTGATTCTTACGGGTACCCTTTGAAACCGTGGGCTTGTCCTCTAGTGCAGAAACAGAGCCAAGACAAGAGGTGGAAAAGAGCTCCGTCAATGACAATGCATAGCAATTCACACAGGTGCTTTGCCAACCCAGAAACCGAATCTCACAGTCTACGCGTCTCTGCTCCTTAAGACCCTGGGCCCTTCCACGTTTTGGCCGCAACAAACCCAAATGAAGCGTCCGATCGCTCCGGTTCGTAGCGATGCCAGCAGCCCCCGTTCGTAGCGAACCTGGTTCCGTTCAGTAGTAAGGCCCAGGAGCCCCGTTCGTAGCGTCCGAACGCTATGAAGGACGGCGGGAACGGCGCCGTTTCGCCGGAGCGGTCGAATCCCAATCCTTCTCGTCGACGAAACTCTCTTCCTCGGCGCTACGGAACTGGTGGTCGCGCAGCGGTGAAAGCACCGCTGTGGCCGGGGGTTTCGTCATGGCGCCGAACTCACTCACTCACTCTCTCTCACCAAGCCGGGGAGGTCGACATGCATCGGTTCAGTTCGGGACCAGGGTCCCCCCTGGTTTTTGACCCACACCCATGTCGCACCTGACCCTCCGTGACCCACTTGACCCCGCATGTTTCGCTGCGTGAACGAGGCGTCACTGGGAGTGCCCGGCATTCAGCTGCGTCAGCAAGCGCCGCAACTGCACCACCGTTCGGTCGGAAAACCGTTCTGGTGGCTGATCGATGAGAAGAACCGATGCGAAGTGTGCAGGAAAACCGATGGGTC